CACAACTCACGACTCCATCGACAGTGCTTAGGTTCTCAGTCTCAGTACAGTTCGCACAACTCACATCAGTAGCCAGCAGGAACTCAACTCCATCAACGCTTCGCTTAGGTCTCAGCCGAGGCTCTGAGCTCAGGAAGGCCGTCATCACATCAGGAAGAACGGCGAAGGGAGCAGGGGGCGGACGCTCCTGCGCACGTCCAAGCCCCGGAGGCGCTCCAGGTTCATCACCTCGGAGTGGTCGGCGAAGAGGTTCACCTGCGCCGGCGGCGAATCAGTTCTCCATGGATCAGACCATGAAAAGAAAAAGGCAGCATGCAAAACGTTCTGCGGTTTCAAGGAGGGATTGAGTGAGGGAAGTGCCGTACTCGTGGGCCGTATCGTTTGACGAACCACTCGGAGGTGTTGGCACCGGATGTCTCGAACATGGTTCTCTCGAGCCCGAGCCGGCCGACGATCTTCGCGATGACGTCCGCCCTGAGAGAGTCAGCGCGCTGGCACACGTCATCGGTGTCGATCATGATCATGTCCGCACCTGCCTCCAGGCATCTCTCGGCCCTCCTGATCAGCAGGTCAATGTCTTCGACTCTTTCTGCAAACGAACAACACAAAATGCAGGCCCGTCTTATAGATACAAGGGAGTGCAATGTAGTCATCTTATGAAAGGAAACAAGTTATGTTCACAGCCTCACAGAGGAACATAATACCGACAGTATTTTTTCAAGAACAGAGAATAAGACACCGACAATTGAGAATGACTAAGTTCTGACTTATACAACTGGAGAAATAGCACTGCATGTATATGAGTACAGTGGAACGGTAGTGCTTCTAGTTATTACCTGAGCTCTGCTTCACTGGAGCTATGTAAGCCCCAAACGCCCTATCACCGGCTGCAGGGATATCAGAGCTGTCGAACTTCACTGAAAACAGGGGCTTGGCTCGCAAACCGTTGTTCTTTATGAGGCGTACTAGTCTCAGGATAGCCTCTTCAGGGAGCTTGAGAGATCCGGCGTTGAGCTCAATGGTGTCGAATCCTAACTCCTTGCATTCCTGCAACAATACATTTTATGTCACATACAGGCTTCAGACACGTTTGTGCGCGTATAACATACAACCAGGACAGCAAGACATCTACATACCTCTACATATTGCTTGAACGAAGAGGGTCCCTGGCGCAGGAGATGCTCTGCCCAGTCACCAGTGCTCACATACATGTCATGCTTGTGTGCTAAATCGGTGATCTCTCTGATCAGTTCTTTTCCCATCAAACTATGAGATCCACCGGAAAACTTCAGACCGTCAACAAAAGGGCCGATATTATCCAATATTTCCTGGAATAAAATATGGCTGGCTTGAGAATCTGCTATCAGGAATGTCTAGATATTGGAAAAGAAGCATCATTATCATTAACCAGCACAGAAATTTAGTAAAGTGGGAACCCAGTAAGGAGCTATGTGTCTTTGTTCTGATAATTATCTCTGTATCTTGAGAGTTTCCTCTAAATTCAGTATGGTTCATCTTTCAGTCTAAGAATGTGTGCGGCATTTCTTCCTTCAAAAGGGGTGGTACAGCAGGGAGTCTGAAGGAAATTCCACCTGCACAAAGAGGTGTTGATGGAGACACGAGGAAATTGTGCACAAAACACTACAACCACATTTCCTCATTTCACCATCAGATATCCACATCCCCTCTGCAGACTGCAGGTGGAATTTGTCTGATCCATCTTCATAGCGATTCCCTTGCATGCCAATCACACTCGCACCCAACAAACCTAGACGCTGGCAAATCTGAGTTGTAGCATACACCCTATCAAAAGTACCAATCAGAAACAATGGTCGTCCAACCAATTTGAACAGACTGAACCCCCTAAAAATTGATCTGTAAATCGAACCCGTGACCGTCATACGCTCCAACTTCTCGGCACGCCTCAGCTAATCCTACGCACCGGAGAACTAGTCGCGCGGCTAAATCAGACCCGAACGGGCTTCGATTTGAATTTGGTAGCAGTAAGCTGCTGGTTTCGAAAAAGATTCAAGCAAACAGAGCCCAGTGCAATCGAGCTTACGCGGAACTCAAACTCGCGCATCGCGACCCAGGCAGCGGCGACGGACAAATGCGTGTGGCGCTGGTATGAGATGCGGGGGTGAGCGCGGTGGGCGGGCGGACGTACCTGGAGCGCGTGGTGGGCGGGGCGGAAGGAGTAGCAGGGGCTCCTCATCTCCGTGACCCCGTAGCGGCGCGGCTTCTCCGGCCGGTCGTCGCCGGGGCCGTGCGCCTCCAGCGACAGCGCCACCACCTCCTCTCTCCAACCCCTCATCGTTGTCCTCGTCTCGTCCTCCCTCTCTCTCTTTCTTCTGCTGATCGGTGGACCGATAAAGAGTAGGATGGACGGGAGAAGAGAGGAGAAGGAGGTGGAAGCTTGCCGCTGCTTCTAGAGACACGGATGGGACCGGGCGGTGGGCCTCCAAGCTGCCTCCCGACTGATCGCTCATGTTCGAATGGGCCATTTTTTTTTTTTTTGAGAAAGACAATACTTCATAGATTAAGGAACATCAGAATACAGTTCGTCCCGGATGCAATCCGGAGCCACACCACGGTAAAAGCAGTTTACAGCTAGCTCACAGCTCCGTGCTAGTTTATGTGCCGCTACATTCAGTCCACGCTTGACATGTGAGAAAGTACAGTGGGTAAAACTAACCAGAGACTTGATGTCGGAGACAACGGCGCCCACACTCGAACGATCTTGGCCAGGAGACCTGATCTTGTTCACCATAGAGAGGCAATCTGACACTAGACTGATATGCATGAAGCCTTCAGCTTGGCAGATGTTCAAGGCGTGCCGAATGGCAAGAGCCTCAGCAAGCTCTGGTTCAGGAATACCAGGAAACACTTTGTTGCAAGCAACAAGTAGGTCCCCACTGTGATTTCGAACGACGACACCAATACCCATCCGTCGAGTCGAGGGGAACAAGGCGGCATCAACATTGACAGCAACCGTGCCCGCAAGTGGCGGAGTCCACCGGAGAGTTGAAGAAGAGGACTCACGCCTAGCAACAGGCCCGGGTTTTATGCAGTGTTGTCTCACCATTTCCACATAAGCTCGAATTTTAGCAGCAACTCTCCTAGGCTGCAAAAAAATACCATTGTTACGAGCATCATTCCTCGCTTCCCAGATGTGCCAAAGGGTAATAGCCATAACTGTAGCATGAAGCTGGGATTCACGGGTGAGGAAATCAAACAGCCATTGACGGGCATTCCGAAGGTCTTTTCTACACAGCCGGAGTCCAAAGCTTTCTTTAACACAGCTCCAGATTGAACAAGCAAAAGGGCACATCAGAAAGAGGTGCTCCACATGCTCAGTTCGGTTGCAGAAAATACAACCGTCATCGGCTGGGATGTGGCGATGCACTAGCTGGTGCCCGGTAGGTAGACAATCATGCGCGACGCGCCACAGAACAATCTTCATTTTGTTTGGGCAAATGACAGCCCAAAGGGCCTTCCAGTTTTTCTCTTGCAACTGTAGGTTGGAAGCCAGCCCCTGGTCCTTTCCACTTTTAGAGGAGAAGAAGATCTCACTTCGAGCCAGATTGTACCCAGATTTGACCGTGAAGATGCCGAGTTTATGATGTGGCCAAGATAAAAAATCCTCTCCACCATGTTGGCTGATCGGGACTTGCGGGATTTGGTCAGCAACAACGTCCGAAAAGAAACTCCGCACGGTCTCCTCATCCCACGCCATCAAGGAGTCCGTCATAAGGAACTGAACTGTAGTAGTAGCAGTTAAAGGGAGTTTGCTGCTGAAAGTTCCAGAGGGGAAGCCCGAAATCCAGTTGTCTACCATGATCTTGATCCTGGCTCCATTGCCGACACCCCATCGAACCCCTTTCCGAATTAGCTCTCTCCCAAACAGAAGGCTCCGCCATGTGAAAGAGGAAGACCTTGGCTTGGTGGCTTCCCAGAACTCACCACCAGGGAAATAACGCCCCTTCAACACCCTTGAGCACAGAGATCCAGGTTCGGTGAGAAGACGCCAACACTGACGAGCTAACATCGCCTGGTTGAATAACACCAAGTCACGGAAGCCCATACCATCGAGGAACTTCGGAGTTGAGATCCAATCCCACGAACGCCAATGCATCTTCTTATGGTCGTCTTCGACACCCCACCAATGGTTGGCGATGCTGGTCTTCATTTGCTCACAAATGGAGACAGGGAGTTGGAAACAAGTCATAACATAGGTTGGAATAGCTTGAGCAACGGATTTCAGCAAAATTTCCTTTCCAGCACGCGACATCGGTCTATCATTGCAGCCATTGATCCTCTTCCAGACCCGGTCAGGCAAGAAACTGAAAGAGTTGGTGGCTGCCCGACCAATCTCAGTGGGCATACCGAGGTATGAGTCATGCAGAATTTCATTGTCAACCCCAAGGTTCCCCTTCACAGTTCCCTTGACACCATCAGGGCAATGCTTCCCAAAGAAAATTGAAGACTTCTGCAAATTGATCTTTTGCCCAGAAGCATCACAATATTGCTGGAGAGCAGATTTGAGAGCTTCCACACTTCTATTATCACTGCGTGCAAAGAAGATGCTGTCATCTGCAAAAAGCAAGTGGGAAATAGGGGGCCTTGCATACCATTTCGGATCCCTTGTAGCTCGCCAAGGCTCTCCCTCTTTTGCAGTAAACTAGACAAACCTTCAGTACACAGTAAGAACAGATATTGACTGATGGGGTCTCCTTGACGGATCCCCCGGGACGGCACCACCGCAGATGTAAGCTCTCCGTTGATCTTCACCGCGTATCTTGCCGAGGTAATGCAGCGCATCACAGTTTGTATCCAAACAGGAGCAAAACCCAACTTTTGCAGACACCCATGGAGGTATGACCACTCAATGCGATCGTACCCCTTCATCATATCCACTTTGAGAGCAAAGAAGGGCCTCTTGGCATGTTGCTTTCGAACCGTATGCAAACATTCATACGCCACTAGAACATTGTCCATGATCAAGCGGCCTGGCACAAATGCACTCTGAAACTCCGAGACAATATCAGTCAAAAAAACCTTCAGCCTATTGGCAAAAACCTTCAGTCGAATGGGCCATTTATGTGCTCGGAAATAGCCCAGCTCGAAGCTCAGAAAAAAAAAGTGCTCGGAAGTAGCCCACCCTAGCCAAGCTTGAAGCTTCAACTCAAAAAAAAAAGATCGAAGATGCTTAAAAAACGGAAATGTTAACGCCCACACGTGTGGGCTTTGACTATCTCGACCACACGCATTCATCATCGTTCAGTACTATATACACGAATCTTGGCACAATCTGGCTGATTTTCTGTGCCACGTAGGACAAGGCGCGTGTGTGGTGTGTGACATAGTTCGCCCACACATCCGTTTTACCACACGGAGGGGCCGGTGTGTGGGCGTTCAGCAGTTCGCGCCACACGCCACTTTGCACGCACACACAAGGGCTAGTGTGTGGGCATTTGTCATCTCGCCCACACGCCCGTCTCCTCTCCCACACTCAAGCTGCTAGTTTCCATGTGTTTTCGCAGCGCACATGGCAACTGCCCCTAGTGTGCTTTATAAGCAGATGGCAACTCTCTTTTTTCACCCGAGTTGCCATGTGTTTTTGCAGGGTACACGGCAATTGCCTAGTGTGCACGTAAGCAGATGGCAACTCTCTTTTACCGAGTTGACATGTGTTTTTGCATGGTACATGGCAGCTGCCCCAACGTGCACGTACATGGCAACTGCCCTAACGTGCACGTAAGCAGATGGCAACTCTTCCTTTTTACATGGCAACTACCCTAGTATGCTTGTAAGCACATGGCAACTCTCTCAACTGCCTAATGTTAGTATATGGCAACTTCTAAAGTTATGAAATCATGGCAACTATATTAGATCAGACCATACATGGCAACTGCAGTTGAGCAACCATGGCAACTGCAGTTGCCCGACATGGCAACCGTAGTTTAGCGACATGGCAACTGCAGATAAACGAACATGGACGAGGGTCTGGACCATGGCAACTGCGGGCACGCGATGGGCGTCACGCGTCGCGTGCGGGACCAGGAGGGTACGAGGCCTGACATACGGGCGTGTGGGCGTTATCAACTTCGCCCACACGCACGCGTGTAAGAGGGTTCGGGAGGGAAAAAATGTGTGTGGGCATTAGTTGTTTTGCCCACACGTAGGTGTGTGGGCTGGTTGCTGTCCATGCCACACGAGGCGTGTGGCACAACTACCGGTACACCACACGTGTGACAGTTATCGGGACCCAAAAAAAATAAAAGTCAAGCATGAAGTGTTTCTCAAAAATAAAAAAAATCGAAGTAATTTTTTTACAGGAGAAGGCCACAAGAAACGAGCTCGAGGTGCATTTCCAGCTTCCTTTTCTGAATTTTCTCAAAAAATAAAAGGCTTCCTTTTCTGAATTTTTCCCCCTTATCGGTTTTAAAGGTTTTTGTGTCGGTAGGCAAAGGTTGCGCGGAATAGAAATCACAAGGCTCACCATAGTTTCAACCTTGACAACGTTGAGCCTTTCAAAAAAAAAAAACCTTGACACTAGAGAGCCTGTGGTGTTTTGGTCCCGAGCATTGTCGGTTTCCGACCCTGCGGGTTGTGTACTGCGCTTCTGCCAAACTTAGGGTGCACGCAATGTTTTTTTTTTTTGCGAGAAAATTTTCGATCTATTCATCTTCAATCATGGCAGTACAACGAATACCAGAGATAATAAAAATTACATCTAGATCCATAGACCACCTAGCGACGACTACCAGCACTGAAGCGAGCCGAAGGCGCGCCGCCGTCATCGCCCCTCCATCGCCGGAGTTGGGCACAACTTGTTGTAGTAGACAGTCGGAAAGTCGTCGTGCTAAGGCCCCGTAGGACCAGCGCACCAGAACAGCAACCGCCGCAGATGAAGAATAACGTAGATCAGAAAGATCCAATCCGAAGACACGCGAATGTAGACGAACAACGACGAGATCCGAGCAAATCCACCAAAGATAGATCCGCCGGAGACACACCTCCACACGCCCACCAACGGTGCTAGACGCGCCGCCGGAACGGGGACTAGGCGGGGAGACCTTTATTCCATCTTCAGGGAGCCGCCGCCGTCTCGTCTTCCTGAGCAGGACACAAACCCTAGCAAAACTGAAAGAAACGACTAAAAACGGAGCCCTCCCGCCGGCCCTTGCCGAGATCCACCGCGCCCCCATGGCCCTAGGGCCACCGGAGAGGAGGCGGACCTGCGGCGGTGACAGCGGGAGGCAGAAACCCTAACTTTTTTGTGGAAGAAGGAAGAAGCGGCAGCACAAGAAGTATTTTAGGGTGCACGCAATGTTGGGCAAAATAAAAGCCTAACACAAGATTATTATTTTCCCTATATATATATTTGTGCTCCAAAAACACCATAGCTCCACAATAGGCCACAAGGCTTCCTGCAAGTTCTTTCAGCCTGTGAAAAATACGCATGTCCATCAACAAAATCCAAGTCAATGCCATTGAGACAGTATTTTCAAGAATCAAAGCCTCAGGTATCGTTTACTTGAGAAAAGAAATAGGCTAGCACATGCGCGGTGTTAGCGACCCAGCGACAGCCTAGTGTAGCGACAATAAAACTATAAAGAAAACTAAATCTCTGTCAAGCAATGCAGAAAAAAAAATTCTTTCTTCTTTCCTTTTCTTTTCTTTTGGCAAACATCAATGCCAAAAAACGAGTTGGTGGGCCTCAGACAGTAGCTATTTTTTAAAAAAATAATACATTTTTTTATTAATTTTCATAAATATTACGCTGGATAATAAAATTTCAAAAATAATACACTGTCGGCCCGCTGCAGGCCGACTGGGCCTAGTCGGCCCACAATAGGCCGATTAGATTCCAGTCGGCCTACAGCTGGCCGACTGGCCCTGTCGGCCCACTGTGGGCTGATTGGGTCCTGTCGGTCCATTGTGGGCCGACTGGAGCTAATTGGCTCGATGTGGACTAATTGTTTTTGCAAAAAAAGTAGGCATAAAAAATATATGTTTAAAAAAATGTTAATCATGTAATTAAAAAATGTTAAACATATATTAAAAATATTCCTGATGTATACAAAAAATGTACAATATATATGCAAAAAAGTTGACATAAAAATATGTTTGAAAAAGTGTTAAGCATGTATTTAAAAATTGTTAAATGTGTGTATAAAAAATGTTCCTTATTTATACAAAAAATATAGAATGTGTATGAAAAAAAGTTGACACCAAAAAATATAAGGAGCATTTTTATACACACATTTAACAATTTTTAAATACATGATTAGCACTTTTTAAAACATTTTTAGTCAATTTTTTTGCATACATATTGTACATTTTTCATATACATCAAGAACATTTTTTTATACACGTTTAACATTTTTTAATTACATAATTAACATTTTTTTAAACATATATTTTTTATGCCTATTTTTTGCAAAAAACAATTAGCCCACAGCGAGCCAATTAGCTCCAGTCAGGACAGGGGCCAGTTGGCCAGCTGTAGGCCGATTGGAATCCAATCGGCCTGCTGTGGGCCGACTAGGCCCAGTCGGCCTGCAACAGGCCGACGGTGTATTATTTTTAAAAAAAAATTACCCAGCGAAATATTTATGAAAATTAATTAAAAAAATGTATTATTTTAAAAAAATTAGCCAGACAGTACACACAAGGATCCCTGCCAAAGCCGGCATTATGTTCAGGTCCTTGAGCAAAATTCAATGATGGTTCTTGCAACAGGAAAGGGTAAAATTACTTTGTAAATTTGTACAAGATGGCAATCAAATTCACTTCAGTAAACTCAAACTTATAAATACGACTAGATCATCGCATGTTCCAGCTGGAGAGAGATGATGACTATTGCAGCATTCAGACCCGGGCTCCCCACCGGGGCTGCTGAGGATCATTAGCAAAACTTGAGCCTGATAGCGTAACTTGAAAATTGTAGAGAACTCTCCTAACTAGAAAAGCATAAAGGGCCTATCCTACAGGTTGCCCTTCCTAGCATCTAAGAATGCTCACACACACACACACACACACACACACAAATCAGCAATCAAACATCGTGTGCTTCTTTATATAATAATAACTAAAAGGACAAATTCTTTATGCAAAAGCAAGCAAATGATATATGCACACACACAATAAAAAAACAGATCAGCAATCAAACATCTCCTGCTTTTGCATGTACTAACTGAAAAGACAATTAAGTTTTCAATACAAGGATGTGTTCCTAGCACGGCTTAGGCAGAGCGAAGCCACGAACGATTGCACAGGTTAAGACCATAGCCCGTAGGAGTTTTGGCAGATGGGATTACCACTTACCAGCTGTCACCAGTTACAACTGTCAGCAGTGATGTTTTTGCATCCCTCTCCATCAGAAATTTTCCACACTGTTTTTGCATCCAAAAGAATCTCTTGCAGTGTTAACAGTGGCAACTTCATAAGTTACTTGAATGGCAGAGGAACCTTAGGCTAGAAAATAGGGCAGGTCTATGTGGAACATGATGTGATCTTAAGGAATGAATATCGTCTACAAAACAAGCACAGGACACTAAGAACAGTGCAATCTTCAGGCATCAACCCTGCCTATGGCTGTTCGAAGGGGTCAGCCACTGACAAATCATGGATATGCTTTTGGAGATGCTTCACAGTATATCGATTTCTATTCATGAATTCAAATTGAGCATCTCGAGAAGCTCTGTCTTCCACTCGTAGCAGCCTGTGTTGATAAGCCAGCGATACACTGTTGTAGGCACCATACATTCCATCAAATTCAATTTTGTTTAGCACTTTTGCATTCAAAACAAAAAACTTGGCAAACTCAAGCTGTTTATCATGGCCCACGAATGTTTCAAACACCACTGTTTTGAGATTGGTTTGAAGGCATTCAATTGGATATAGTCGGTCACATTGAGGCTCGATTTTCGTATCCGTCTCGTTGTGTTTGTGAAACTGCAAAATGGATATTAAGAATCTGTCAAGCGTCTCTGTACTAAAGCTGTTACAAACAAGTTGTCAATAAAATCAGAAGTTATAAAGCAAGCAAAGATGAGCACTCACAATGATATAGAGCTTCTCGAGACAGGGGAACCTCCTAAGGATATTAAGAACTCCATCCAATTCATACCCGGAACACCTAAGAGCCAAAATCTTCACCGTGTGCATCGAGTTTGCCAAGTCGGCTGAACTTACTCCCTGAAAAAAAAACAATGAACATGACAAAAAAATAATTATCTCCGTGTAGGAATGCCAAATGCAAGGATGCTGCTGCTGCTATACCTGGGAGGCTAGGAGCTTGGAGACGACAGGTAACAAAGCCCAACTCCAGTTTAGGCGCACAAATTACACGGATAGTACCACAATCATCTCGGCAACCAAAAGGCATTAGTAACCTCACAAGGCGAGGCGCATCCTCGATGACCAGCTCTACTTTACCAGAGGTGTCACGGAAGCAGATACTCCTAAGAGTCGGCGAGCGAACATGGTGGCAACGAGCACCACGAAGTTCGGACATGTGTAAGCTCTCCAACGCACGGCAAGCAGAGAGCAGTCCGCAGAAGACGTCCGCTGAGATGGAAACAGAGATCAAGGAGAGATGCTCGAGGAGGTCAAAGCCCATGGACGGCACCATCTCTCGGGGCAAATCACAGTAGCCGATCTTGGCAACGAGGAGGGTAGATGCAGAGCGAGGCGGATGGCGGCAGGGAAATTCTCGCCACAATAAGTTCTTGTAAATCGTTTTCACCGTAGATCTTGTAGCCGACATCGAGCTCCTCAAGGTTGGCGAGGGCTCGGGAGCGGAACCAGCTCTCCGCCTGGTCGTGGAGGTCGCCGGGGCGGAGGCCGTGGAAGCAGAATCGGCGGGCGGGACCAGGATGCTGCGAGATTACCTTGGGGACGACATCGGGGGCGACGGAGGAGGTGCGGACGCCGCGGCCGGGGTATGGGCGGACCTCGAGGTTGAGAGGGGCGGAGCGCCACAGGGGGCGCCATCGGCGGGAGAAGACCTGCGTGCGGCCGCCGTCCTTGGTGGGGAGGAGGGAGATGATGGTGCAGAGGACGGCGTCGGGGACCCTGCTGATGAAATCGGCGGCGCTCTCATCGCAGTCGCCCCTCCGTGCCGCCTTCGATGCGTTCCAATGGGAACCCCCCTGGTCGGGGACGGGTGCCGCTGGCGCTGCGGCGGCCTCCATGGCCGGCGGCTAGCGGGGCGGCAGATTTGGCCGCAATGCTCCACCCGCCGCTCCTGGCCGCCGGCGCACTCGCACGGATGGGGAAATGGGGAATGGGGTGGGTAGGTCGGGACTCGGGAGTGAATTGGGATGGACAGAACAGCTAGGGTTTGCGTGGGAGAAAACTTTCAAATCTTGATGAAAATTCACGAAATTTATGAATTTCTGGGAGACGGGAATGGTAATCTCAGTAAAAAAAACTTTGAAAAATTATACTCTCTTCGTGCCATAATATAAAAGCATTTTTGCACCCGTCAGCAGGAGTACTTATCTTTACCTACTAATAAACCACGCATTGCTTCTGGTGGTACGTCGCCGGCATTTTTGCACAAAAGTCCATGCACTTTTAATAATTAGACCCGCAGTCCTCGTCATAAGTCAACCCCGAACCGGTACAGAGGAGAGAAAATAAGAAAGAAAATCCCAGCGCCCCGCACGACCCTGCCTCTTCGATCCCATCTCCACCTCCATCCCGCCGACACCTCCTGCCCCGCGCCGCCCGCCCCACACCGCGTCGACCGAGACCGCGTCCCTCCCTAAACGGCGGCGATGATGGAGGGCGCCGCTCACCTCCTGACCGACGGATTCGCCGGCTTCCCGCTCCTCAGGGCCAACCCCTCCCCTGTGCCGGGTCTAGCATCGGCTTGGAGCCCCCAAGGGGCTGCCGCCGGTGTGGGAGTCCCACGCGGCCGTGGGGCTGGGGCGGTGGAGGCTCCGCTGAGCCGCCGGCAGGCAGGGAGACGGGCTCCTGTTGAGGCGGCGGGGCTTGGTGCGGGCTGGTCTTCCGGATCGAGCCCTTCCTCATCTTCATCTCGTTCGCTTGGCTCCTTCCCTCACAATTGGTGCCCAGGCGTCGCCATTGCCATGGATGTGCTGCAGAACGCGGACGCCTTCTTCTCCCCCGGGAGGGCCATGTTGCCTCAGGTGCACCCGAGGGGAGGGGGAGGCGGGTGGAGCGCCTGCATCAGCGTGTCGTGAAACCCCTGCATGATTCTGAACATCTCAGGCAAAAGAAGATGATTGGGTTTCCGTGGTTAGGGCTGCTGTCGTCATGCTTCATCAGCGTCGTCATTGCAGGATTCATTTTCTACAAGTACTATCTTGGGAGTAAGGAAACAGAGATACCTCTTCAATCCCAAAACTTATATTGTTCCGGGAATTACCATGAGAAGCAAGCACTGAATCTTTCTTGGCTATCAATAAAATCTGTTGCGGCAGTACATGGCTTCTGAAGTGACGAGTAACAGTAATCATGCCAGGTTAATCCAAGCTCAGTCCGTTGGTATGCCCCATGGCTGGATTTGCTTGCTTTGCTGTGTACTGGAGGTGCTCAATGAAATCCGTCAGTTTGCTCTTGGTCTTGGAGGATTACGGAAGAGGATAAGTAGATCCTTCCAATCCCTAGCAATGTACTAGAAGTTATAAATGGTGGTCAGTATCAGGTATCATTTTTTTTCTGAATCTAGGCAATCGAATATATCCTCTTGTATATATCCAATAAAATTGATAGAGGAAGGCTTAGCTGCTAACCGTTAGGTTAAGTAAGGTTTGTTTCCTATCTTATGTGGTTTGTCGAAAAGAAAGGGCTTTCACCACCATGAGTGTTCCACAAAAATCAGACTTCATGCTTGGTAATACATGAAGGTGCAGTCTTTATAGATATCCTTTACAGATCAAGGATATACATTATCATCTGCATTCATCTGGTGTTTTTTTATGACAGATGGTTGTGGCTGAAACCAGACATCTTCACTGAGATTTAGATGGACAGGATAAGAGTGTCGAGAAAGCATTGGAATTCAGATCATAAGCCTTTTTCTACAATAATGGACTAACAAAAAACAAAGAAAAACATGGACCTGAATGTCTAGACATGAAGTAATCAAATAATTCTATACCATGTCTTACTGATGCAAATATGTTGTCTACTAGGTAGTTATGCAAACATCTGTTCCACCTAGGTTCTTACTTATACACACTTGTACTTTCTGTTGTTGTAGTTAATTAAAAATGTTTGTTATTTAATTTGGTTTCTGAAGATGCTATCATTGTAGTGTTAATTAGTCTCAATCTTTTAATGTAAAATACTCTTAACTAATGGTTTGCCATATAGCCATGGAATGTATATAGTTTGGTTCGGGCACCCTGAAATAAATTAAATGTTTCCTTTGTTTGTTTTTTTCTTCCATAGCAAGGATTGAATCATTAGAACCCAAAAGGGAGTTTCATGGAATGTATATTCTATTTGCTGGGCGGGCGGCCTCACTGAATTGGTTGTCTCTGTTTTTCTGTGCCCTCCTGTGCCATTGGATTGGATGGCGTCATTGTCGCCGCAGCCACTACATGTCAGAGCTGTTGCGGGAGCACCAGAAGCTTGTCCTGTTTCGCGCAGGTGCTACCAATCTACATCAAGCTGTTGGGCCACGGTGAGAGCCTCGATTCGCTCCCTCGCCGCCGCCGCCCCGTCTACCATTATTGGCCTAGATGGGAATTTGTCCTTGCTGATTTGCCATGGCCTGATTGCTTATGTTTCTCTCTTGTTGATGCAAACATGCTCTGCTTGACTCTGTTTTGGCCTCAAGGTGCAGGCTGTGTGTGTGTGTGTACCTTGATTCATATGATTCTTCGGTGACAGAAAGTTTTTCATGGAGCACCTTTTCGTGCTAATGTTGGCTTCTAATGTTTGTTGTTGTACTTATGCTACCAGAGATAATGCGGGTGTCCTCCTTGCTTAAGCAACATCATGGTGGGGACCTTCAGAGGTTGCCGTCAGTGGCGAGTCCAAACCAGATGCATCATCATCTGCCGCCACCAATGCCTAATTTCTGTGCAAATGGTTTTGGCCCGTGGAACCACGGTGCGCATATAGAGGTAATTACATTACTTATCTGACATGAGGGCGGCATATTCACCCATCCATCATATCTGATCGCATCCACTGGTAATTAATCTTTAAAAGAACAGAGAATGATACACAAGATCCTCTCTTGGTGGTTTCAAGGTTGCATTGTACTTTTTGCATAACTTAATGGTAGAATAAATCAGGTAAAATAAATCCTGGTATTGTTTTTCTTCTTACATAACTTATCTTATCTCCCAACAGACTTGTTGGATTGGTGTGGTTGTTAGTCTTAGTTTTAGCCATGGCTATGAAATTTTGTTGAGAAGTAGGCAAACATAGAAGTTGTTGTTTGTTGAATGAATTTGCTTATGCATCTCTTTTATTCCTAAAACAGTTGGTCAGAAAGATGTTTCACACTGGTGTGATACTATTATTTCTACCCAAGCTCTAATATTTTTAGTGCCAAGAAAAATTGATGCACCCGAACTATGACACATCTCTCTATACTGAAATTGTGGTTGATGTTTGTCATCTGAAAACCACACTCAAGTATACATTATGGGACATAATGCCCAGAAAATAATCACCAGGCATGGATATCACTGTTGACCTACATAGTACAACATTGCATAATTTTCTGGTTTTCTGAAGGTACAACTCAGTATTATTTTTTATCATACATAGATAGAACAAAGGCCACAAGAGCTGATTTTGTGCACCTTGCTGCATGGGCACCCACTTGATTAAGATATTATAAGTGTGAGCTTTTAGATTTCAAAATAATAAATTAGATTCTAATTATTAACCTGTGTTCAAATTGTAATGTTATCTAACTCTGACAGATTGTCTTTGAGAATAATTTGATGAACCACCATGTCGCTCTTCAATCTGGTTCCATGGGAAAGTAAATTACATCGCTCGAGCGGGTCAACATAGCCTACAGGTTAAGTGGATGCTATCACTTTATGACATCTTTTATTTATTCCCATTCATTCTACCATTGCTTAACTTTGTTTCATAAACTGTTGTTGCTATGTATGCAAATGCAGGATACATTTCTAGAGCTGAAATTTCAGGGCATCAAGAAGTAA